CAACGAGCAACCATCCCCTGAAAACTCGACTCGTATGTAGTGAGAGAAAGTGACGTCAGGAGTGTGGGTTCATGCATTGTGATGTGCCGTCTCCATAAGGGGTGAACGGCGGTCGACAACAAGGATTGTTTCTGGGAAGTGCAAAGCCTACGCTGACCCTGGCGCTCCTGGACGGCTGACTCCACCGCTCCGCTCCGCTCCCCTCGCACACAACCGGCACAACCTTTGACGGGGTCCGCGCCCATGTTCACGATGGTGTTAAGATATACAGTAGGATATTACATCACCTATAATATATACATATACATATACTTATACATGTACATTGATATGTGGTGGTACTGGTATTGCTCTCGACACCCTGTGCTTGAAAATTTATATGTATACCGTTTATACCCCATGAAAGATATATGTAAAGTCAAGAAATGAGTACACAGAAATGTTGGGAAGAAAGAGTGTAAAAACGAAAATGTAGTCTGCTTGCTCTTCAACCAGCTGATGTGCTGAAAAATAGCTGCATTCTTTTACATACATCCAGTAACTGTAGTGTTTCCTTAAACAGGAAAATGGGGGAATGACCGAAAGCCAACATTTGTCGTGATTGTTTGGTCTTTCGATAAGGAATTGGGTTACAGACTTCAAGTTAACGGAATTATATATAATAATTGTAGTTAAAAAATCATAGTGTTTATCAACGCCGCCACCAAGGGATTTTTACCAAGTTTGTTTTTCCTTGAGGAAAAACACCTAAAACCATATTACCTGAGTTATACATCACATAATGAATAACTTATATTATTTTCTGATATTTTTACATTATTTCATAAAGTCAAAGGTTTTGTTCAAATTCCACCACATTTTCATTACTTTACTCTTTTATTAACTTATTAAATGGCAAAACGGTCTGTTAGCTATACATTACTACACTTGGAATCTGGCAAGCATACCACATTCTCTCTGCTCACCAAAAAAATCAGAAAGCTGTTAAACGAGTCCAGATTTTTGACACGCTCTCCATAACCCTCAGCTGATGTCTTACTCTCTAGGCGGGTACACTTGGCACCCCACAGAGGGTGGGGCGCACCTACGGCTGTGCAACAGCACACAGAACACCCCAATCCTCTCCTTGTCAGAATTTTCCATTCGTGCCCCTTCAGTCTTCTTCGCGCGCACACACACATTTATATATATATATATATATATATATATATATATATATATATATATATATATATATATATATATATATACATATATATATATATATATATATATATATATATATATACATATATATATATATATATATATATATATATATATATATATATATATATATATATATATACATATATATATATATATATATATATATATATATATATATATATATATATATATATATGCACATATATATATGTACACACATATAAAATGCACGAACATGAGCTTAAGCATACGTTCACATACATATACACACTCACACACGTACACACACACACATGTATAAGTAATGTGTGTGCGTGCGTGTGCGTGTGTGTGTGAGTGTGTATATGTGTGTGAACGTATGCTTAAGCTCATGTTCGTGCATTTTATATGTAATCAACATTTGAGAAAAATAGTATATATACATATGAATGTATATATATATATATATATATATATATATATATATATATATATATATATATAATATGATATATATACCTGTGTGTGTGTGTGTTTGTGTGTGTGCGTGTGTTTGTGTGTGTTTGTGTGTGTGTGTGCCTGTGTGTGTGTGTGTATGTGTGTGAACGTATGCTTAAGCTCATGTTCGTGCATTTTATATGTAATCAACATTTGAGAAAAGTAGTATATATACATATGAATATATATAAATATATAATATATATACCTGTGTGTGTGTGTGTTTGTGTGTGTGCGTGTGTTTGTGTGTGTTTGTGTGTGTGTGTGTGTGTGTGTGTGTGTGTGTGTGTGTGTGTGTGCGTGTGTGTTTGTGTGTGTGTGCGCGCGCACCCAGTGAGCATGACTCTATGCACTTTACAAGGTAATTCCTCTCCACTTCTGCTGAGTGGCATTCATGTTATGGAAGGATATTGATAAATAGATGGTATCTTGAAAAAATATTTTATTTACTAGCAGAATAACAAAATTCAAATTTGTGTATATCCATTTGGAATGAGCTGAATTCAATTGTTATTTTTTAAAAGCATAAACAAAGAAAAATACACGCACATCATCAATATATCCGTGCCATCACCGATGCGGTGTTTGACGAACTATTTGGTGCAATGTTGAGATCATATAGTTGACTGTCTTTATACTGGGGTGGCTGACCAATGATTCTTCCGGGGGGGGGGGGGGGGTAGTTGTTTAGGTAATCATTGTTGGTGGTTCTCAACCAACCATCACTCACACGCTCTTATGCAGGACTTGTGTGATAAGTATATATGTATATATACATATATGTGAGTGTGTGTATGTGTGCGTGTGTGTATGTGTGTATGTGTGTGTATGTGTGTGTGCATGTGTGTGTGTGTGCGTATGGGTGTGCATGTACGTGTACATATGCGTGTGCGTGCGCATGTGCTGTGTATTTGTACATATATATGTACGTATATTGTTTGTCAATATAAATTATTACATAAATAATAATGGAACATAATATACCTCTTAAATTATTCTCATCCTTCCTCTCATCCTCAGACGTATGACGAATAACAAAGCTGTGAGAAAATAGGTAAGTCAGTAAGATAAATAGTTTTATTTGTTTATTTATATACAAAGTGCAGTATTCGATACCTCGATACTTCGATATGTTCGAGTCATTGGTAACATCGAGAGTATTGTTTACTTTGGTATTGATGCGCACATAAATAAAAGATAGAGATAGATAGATAGCTAGACAGAGAGAGAGAGAGAGAGAGAGAGAGAGAGAGAGAGAGAGAGAGAGAGAGAGAGAGAGAGAGAGAGATTTCTTGGAAATGATAGTCGTGATATAAAATTAAACTGAAATATTTCCTTCAGTGTGAAGCTACAACATTATTAGACGTAGAAAGAATATTCCTCTTATAAGTGTGAAATCTCTTATATTCAGAGTATTAAAAGTTTCAAAAGCACTTTTTGCCGAGTTAAATATGACGTTTATTGGAACTAATGTGTGTATTACATTAAGCTAAAGATATGTTTCAAAGCATTTTTCATTTTCCATTTGCAGTGGAATGCTGAATTAATAAAACGTAATACCATTACTTGCATACATATCAGGGAAATATGCCATGATATATTTACCACTTTTGACAAGCGAGAGGTCATTCGCCTAACTGATTTCCCCGAATTCCACGATGATTAACCACGACATATATGTCATTTGGATGAACAAGAAACCACATTTTGCAGTGTAAAGCTTTTTCCACGTCAATTTGGCAATTAGCTGATGGCTTCTCAATACGGATTCCGCTTGTACGCTTGTTATTTATATTCACATTTCCCAATGATTAACAGCACTGTGGCGTCATGGCTTTTTGAACTAATATTTTGGAATGCGAATTGATGCAGCAACGGATACAGAACTTAGATAAATAGAGATAAAATAAGCATTTACCAGGACCTTTAAGGTGTATGTAGCTCCTCTAAATTTGTGAAAGTAAAGTGAACACATGAGGAGAAATGGATAGATATAACTGTGAATATAGCAGAACAAAATAAATGGTTCTGTATATACTACCAACAATGAGTTCACAACGAACTTTATAAAAATAACATCTAACACGTTAATGTTAAAAGTATACTTACTGCATATACGTAATGTACACAGTTTAGTCCGGATATGCTTATTACCAAGCAAATGCTTGTTCTTGTACAGGATACAAGGATTTCGCAATGTGCGCCACTTTTCACGCACACAAACATCCCCGGGTAATCCCCACGAATCCCCAAGGCGAGAGTCTCCCGTGTATAACAGAGAGCCAGAAACAAAGGGTAAAATATCCGCTTCCTCAGGAGATAAGCGAGAGGCCTCAGCCATTAGACATTTTGTTCTGCGCGTTGGTCCTTCGTGTGGAGGGTGTCCTTCCCGCCTGACGAAGTCGTGGTGCTGGTGGTGAGGTGTGTGGGCGTCTTGGGCGGAGGGGCGCCGCACATTCCGACCACCCACACCCACGCCGTCCACAAGCGCTCGCCAACGCGCCGACGGTAACTGTGGTTGAAGTACATAAATACAAATGGATCGACGACGAAGTGCATGGAGAAGAGGACATGGAAGATGATACCGTATGACAGGGGTGGACGAGGCATCATGTGGTAGACGGAATGCGGAAGACCGAAGACAAGGTTGGACACGAACACAGCGAACATTCCTCGGGTGGCGTTGTTGACGAATCTGGAGTGGCTGGACTTCACCGTGGCCATCCGCCGCCCGTTGCGACGCATCTGGGGAGGGAGGGGCGGAAATGCCACGGGCGTGAGTCGGAGTATGCTGTCATAAGTAAGCTCTAGAATATGAAAGGGTAAAAAAATATATATACAGAACGTATATCTATCTATCTATCTGTCTATATAAATACACACACTCACTCACTCACACACACATACATACACACATTCATAAACGCACATATAAACATACATACATGAATACCTACATGCATAATACTTATATACATACATACATACACACACACATATACATTCTTACATATACATACAGATAGATAGATAGATAGATATATAGCTACAGACAGATATAGCCTAGATGTAGATATAGATACAGATATAGATGTACTCGTAGATATTGATATGGATGTAGATGCAGATATAGATAAAGATATAGATATAAATACGGATATAAATGTAGATATAGATATAAATATGGATATAAATGTAGATATAGATATAAATATAGATGTAAATGTAGATATGTGTAATAGATATAGATATAAACACCTTCGTAACAACAATGCAGCGCACATGCTCTTACCGCAATGATCATGGCCACGTAA